GTGTGTGTGTGTGTGTGTGTGTGTGTGTGTGTGTGTGTGTGTGTGTGCGTGCGTGCGTGCGTGCGTGCGTGCGCGCGTGTGTGTGTGTTAGGACTCATGTTAGCATTCCTCTTCGAATCCTTCTTCCCCCTGGAGCGACCTCTTTCCTGCCAACACAGATTGCTGTGTTGGTTTTGCACTAAACGTGTTGGTTTAGCTGTAAATATGAGCAGATGAACACTGATTCTGTGTCTGATGGTTCTACATACTGGCTGTGGATCCTCTCTTAGTGTAAATATAGATATCACTTGTGCAAATGCGGTTTGATTTGACGGCAGGTGATAGGTAAAAGTCGGAAGCTGTTCAAAACACATTATTTTCATTTTTTTCTTACACAGACAGATAAATAATTATAATAATTAAGAAGATAAATCAGTTTTTTATTCACGGAAGTAAAAACAATGAAGATAAATTAACCCCAGCCTAAAGAAATCCACATCAATATTTTGTGTAAAAGAATATAACAAAAGTCAATATGACCGAACATGGTTTCAAGCTTTTTCCGTAACAACACAAGAGTGCTGATTTTCACTTGTAGCACGTATTTAACAGCAGACGGCTGTGTTACGGTGCAGAAGACGGTTTCAGAAGCTGGTAGGGTAATGAGGCAGTTTTATGGCTATCAAAGAAAATCCACCGGTTGATATCACATCACAGATGGAGGGCTGCAACAGAAGGAAGACCACACACACACACACACATGGACCAGAACAGACGCACTGCTGGCTTTTCGCTGGTGTTAGCTCGTCTCTAACACCAGATCCGCTCAATATGGAGGCTTTTAGCTCTGAATGTTTCTGCTTAAATCAGCTGCAACAGTAGATGTTTTAGTATTCCTTTTGACAAAACTGATTAAATAGTGCAAAGTAAAGAATCATTTCCCTAGATTCTAGAACTCATTTGTACAGACTGCATATCTGATTAAAAAAAACTAAATGTACCTGTTTTTAAAGGTGCAATGTCTAAGATCTGGGCAGAGTTTTAGTTTAGAACATTAAAAAATTAGATAATAATAGGTCACAATGTTGACCCACTGACCAAAGGTCTGTCCTGACCCTAACTACTCGAGGTCAATGCCTAACCTTAACCAATCGTCTGTGCCTCAACCAGCTACACCAGGGCGGGTCTCTCCAGGAAGAGCAGTGGGATTATGCCTCTCTTCCCCCTCTCCTGTCATTTTATACACATACATGTAAATATATATACTGATGATTGTATCTGACTCAGTAGTAGAAATAAAATACTGCGCCTATTTTTTGTAGCATGGTAAGATCTTACACATTGCAACTTCAAACAAAGGAGAAATCCCTCTTTGGTTGCCAGGTTTCTACTACCGCACACTACATATTAAAAACACTCTCGCATCTCTGGGCACCAAACCCTGGATTTCAAAATTAATGTTAATTGCCGGTTACTGTGACAGGTCAGCAGTCTGGAGATCAAAGAGAAGCTATCAGATGTCAGAGAGGAAGGTATAGCAGCGGCTCACAAACACATTTTACGCTACTCGTGTGGGGATGAGCTGCAGAGCTTGATATGTAAATACAGCAGGGGGAATCATTCATGAAGTCATCTACCGTGCAGATCTGACATGTAGAGTTTAACACGTGTGTGTTTGTGTAGATCCTTGTGTTGATATTTTAAAACAGGCGTTGTTTTTACATAAACAATTCCTCATGTTTTCAGCTTCTTAACTGAACTGGATTCAACACAGAAAGATCTTAAAGCAACAGCTGTCTTTGATAATAAAAAAGATGCAGATTCAAAACATGAGGCTAATTTATGCTATTTCATGTATAAATATTTAATATCAGAATCATGGATTTTTAACAACATTTTGAGGATCTCGTTCTCAAACACAGGAAGGAAAATGAGAAATAAATTTCCATTCCTCCGCTGAACATCTTCATTTGTACCGTAATAAAAAGGAAATGTGTGTGTGTGTGGGGATAATTAATCTGCCCGATAGACTCAAAGTATGAGGCGGGGAAACCTGTCTGCGCCTAATACTTATAAATTAAGGATACAAATGTGTGTTAACAGACACGTTTTGACATGTCTAAACCACCAATGTATCCATGCAAACAGTTTACCTCCCTCTGTGTTAAGTGTAAACTTTACTGTAGCAAAATTAAAAAAGCCTCTTTCATGAAAACACTCATAAATTTGATTTAAAAAATAAACAAATACAACTGATTGAGTCCATTACAAAGATAAATAAATATAGATTTATGAAAATGCACTTGCAGAGTGTATTAAAACTGATCCCCCATGGATCTCCGATGCTGCGAGTTGAAATAAATGCTCCACTTTATCTACTCGGTCGTATAAACCAGACCCACAGCGAAGGTGATGTCACTGCAAGGGGAGTTGAAAGGGTTGCCATGGTGACGCGCTGAAGGCAGCCGGGTTTGGCCCTGACTATGTGTGTGTGTGTGTGTGTGTATTATTGGGTCATTGTGTTGCTGTTCGACACGTTTGATTTCCACTAATGTTTACAGAATCTGTAACTCAGTTTGACTGCATCCATATGCTGAGGGTATGTTTGTGACTAAAGGGTGTGTGTGTGTGTGTGTGTGTGTGTGTGTGTGTGTGTGTGTGTGTGTGTGTGTACACTCTCTGTGCCATCTAATTACCTCTACACACAGCTCTGAGCTGATGTACACTGAGCCGTCTCATTATGAACAGTAAAAACAGAAGCAGAGGCTATTACACGAGGTAAATACACGTCCAGCTCGCAGTCTGTATCTGTTGCATCCTGTTCTCCAGATAATTGGAGTCTAGAGGTTACTTTGTGCATTCGTGTTGGAGACCATGTAACGTTTTATAAATGATATGTCTGTGTCTGTGTGTGTGTTATGTGTGTGTCTGTTTATGAGAAAAGAACATGAAATAGGTCATTTATCTGGTTTATTCAATATTCTCCAACGCTTTCTTATCTCGGCCCTTGACTTTTTGGACCACCGAGTTGTTAAGCATAAAGACACCAAGGCACAAAGAAACTTGAAAAGTCTTGAGTCCGTTCATTGCTGAGAGCATTTTATTGTGGTCAAAGTTCTTTATTGCCAATGCTATAAGCTTGCATTGTACTCGTGACTGCCCACTGAAAGCAGGTTTTAGTGAGGACCAAGTGATAAAGAGTTTTCAATTCCTGCAGTCGGTACATCCTGGTAAATAAGAGCCTGCTGTGTTGAACGTTCTCTTTATTGTGATACAGGTTCACATGTTTACTGTTCAGTCAAAATAAACTGTGAACGGTGGTTTTGTCGGGTCAAATCCTTTCAGTCAGTGTAACTATTCCAGTCTGCAAGTATTCACTCTCAGGAGGTGCGGAAAAGATCGAGATGCCAAAATGAAATTTCAGCTTGCAGAACACATTATCCAATGTCTGTAAAGCTCGACATCAAATCAAAACCCCTGATGAAATCCAGGATGGCTGAAGAGAGTGAGATGCATCTTATCCCCGACGGAAAGCAATCTCGCCTGTCGGTTGAGTTTTCTCGGCAATGAGACAAGACTTTGGTATCAGAAACCTTCTGGTTTATGTCTTGTAGTCAGAGTAGTGTTGATCACGTTATTGTAACTATATGTGCTTTTATTGTATATAGTATTAAGTGTTAATCCAGGTTAAAGTGAATTCAAATGAACGCATTTGTAAAATGACGGATGATGAATGGGAGAGTTCATCTGTAAGCTAGGGGAGTGAGGGGATACGTCTGGTCTGCACCTGCAATCACTGCAACGTATGACAGCATCCCTTTATTGTTCTTCTCTCTTCTCTCTGAAAGGTCTCATGGCTGACAAGAAGGATGTGCGTATTGAGGAGGAAGAGGATGACAGAAACCTAAACTACATCGCTCCGGTCCAGAAGAGTTTGGATGAGATTCGGCAACTGGACAAAGATGACGAGAGTCTGGTCAAGTACAAGCAAACCCTGCTGGGGATGGAAACAATGCCAGCAGGTAGGGGTGTGTGTGTGTGTGTGTGTGTGTGTGTGTGTGTGTGTGTGTGTGTGTGTGTGTGTGTGTGTGTGTGTGTGTATTTTGTTTACCTGAGGTG